CAAAGTTGTCTGACATAGCCAAAGCTTCGGCCTATTCTAAGCACCTCTGGAAGATGACCTAGTCACGTTTCTACGAGAACCACTAAATTGATAGGTTTATGGTGGCATAGAATGCCATGATCACAAGAAGTGAAGTTTGTAAAGGAAAAACTTTGAAGGAGCCTAACCAGAGATTTTCTGTATCCGATAGCTCAGGCGTTTCTCTTTTGATGATCACTTTCTTAAATAGAGAACAAACTCTGCATGCTAAGTTGTTCAAAAGTGAGCTCGAAGTCATGAACGCGACAAAAACGTGATCCAATGGTATCTCTAGAACATATTATTGCACTTTGAATGCAAATTTTACATGAATAAAGTACTCGAAATTCATTCGCAAATTCGAATGAGAGGTTTTTGAATTTCGAATTATTCGAAATTCGAATAAAAATATTGGTTCTCGAATTATTCGAAAAATCGAATGGTCGAAAATTTTCATTCGCGAACTATTCGAAAATTCGATTATTGATGTTTCCAATTCAGTTTACTCGAATATTCGAGTATTTAAAATTTTCGGATTCCCAATTTATAGTTGTCGGTTCCGCGTTCGATGAAAAAAGTCAATACTTTTAATTACTTGATCACATTACGAAAATGATAAAAGCTTTTTCTTCTAATTAGTCGAACGTTAGGATCCTATATGGCAAAGTATAATTGTGAGATTCCAGTCAAGCTTATGAAATAAATACAGCACTTTTTACGGATTTATATCTCTATGCGCATGAAAAACCCAAAATAATAGTGAGAGTTCATTATTGAGAAATTTTCAAAAAAAATGCCTCAACCTAGAGCTAGAACTATAGTCTTAACCGTCCTCCGAAGGAACTTTCTTTCTTATGACTATGTGAATAATGTTTTATCCAACATAAACCTAATTCTGAGTGATTCAACCAACTATCTCCACCTATGTTTCCCATTTCGAACAGCCTGTCAGTATCGAAATTGTTCTCAACATGTGCTTAAAGCTGATAGCATGTAAGATACTCTATATCAATGCATTCATTATCATGTTTTATGTTAAGGCATCTTTATTTCGGAAAAGTTTCTCACTCAGTATTGAACTCTCTGAAAAAAAAAGTTGAGAAGCTTTCACCTAATCTATAACTGTAACTGCCACTAACATTCGATGAGATTAGACAAGTGAGGAGATTTA